GTGTATTACTTTCATTCCATCTCAAATCAGAGACAACAACCCAACAGTAATAAATAAATACAGATACTTCTTCTGCACAGCACTGTAGGGAATTATTAGTCTTTGCTTCTTCCCTCGCTATACTGTGTTTTATGGGAAGAGTTAGTAACATTTTAGTAACGTGTTACTAAATATAAATCACATTCTATTTAAAATACAGCTTATTTTATGTATCAGTTAGGAATATTTATTGCATATGATGATGAACTTATAAATATGCTGCATTCCTATATTTTTGTTATTTATATAAAATATTTATAAGAATTACGTCGGGATAATTGCATAATTATTAATATATTTAAATAATAAGGCATATATCTATTAATTTGTCTTCAGTAATCTATTTTATCATTTAACACAATACTCACAGTTCAGACCGGTGCTAAATGTCTAACATGATAAAGCACTCATTAGATTATTCCCCTTCATCTTGTGCAAGACAAGAGACCCCATGTCTCAGAAGGGGCCTCAAAGGCTCAGGGCTCCTGTAGGGCATCGTGAGCCCCTTGTCCCCCAGCGAGCCGCCCCGAGCCCGGCACCGTGTCCCTCCACGGCAGCTCTGGGTGCTCCCCGCTGTCCCAGTCCCCACCGGGTCCCAGCACGGGCCTTGCATCCCCTGCCTGCAGCTCGCCCCGGGCAGCCAGAGCCAGCACACAACAGGGTTTGGTTTAAAGACCAGGACTGACCTGGGTTAGGCCTCACTGGGTAGGATGCCGGAGCCGCCCACCAGCAGGCAGATGTGAGGGAGCAATCCAGCTCTTCCCGTGTTCCTGAGGCGGGACCTCAGCTTCACTCCGGTGACTGTTGGCTCGGTAGCTCAAGCTATTGCTGCCACAAAGCGCTGCTCAGATGTGGTGACCTCCCTGGCTGCCCTCACGCCTTCCAAGGCCACGCAGGTGCCTGTGCAGGACGCTGGGCAGGGTGCAGACATCAGACACGAGCTCCGTAACTCCCCGGGACAGACGGGAACAGCAGCAGCACTGTCAGCCCGCGGTGGTGCTCAGCAGCCTGAGGACGGCCGCAGGGTCCCTCATGCCGTGCAGCAGACCTGGCAAAGGAAGGTCTGAAACTCAAACCCAGGAAAAACAAGGCTTCTTCCTTCCAGCCAACACCAAACCACTGCTGTATGGACTAGAGACCTTCCTCTGGCATCACCCAGACCTGAACACCTTCTTTAAGAAGGGTTAAAACCAAACACCTAGCCAGGCTGGTGGAGTTTGGAAACGCTGCACGTGTAGGAATTTCCTTCTGGGTTCGGGTGATGGCCTGAAGCATGAACTTTAAATAACCCTGAACCAGTAGTGCAAACAGCACATTTGCAGCCTTCTGTAAAAACGCACCACTGCAGCGTCCTACTGGGCAACCTCTCAGAGCAGAGAGAACGGTAACACCCCTGAAAAGTGGGGCCAGGGACCACCTCCTCGTAACCAAGAGACAAAGGGCATGAGCAGACATCTAGGCTGCCATTTGTTTCCCAAGTGCCAAAGGGAAATTTCTTTTTTTTTTTTTCTGTGACTATTTCCCCTCTATTAAATACCTCTTCTCAAAATGGGGATCTGTTTGTGATCTGCTCTGATGTGCCGGCACTGAAAACCCACCTCTTGGTCCCTGTTAGGTGACCCCACTGCCAAGGCACTGGCAACGCCTGGAGGTTGGTCTGTGCGCTGGCACAAGCCAGGACTGGGCAGGGGATTCTCCAGGCAGGGCGCTTCAGTGGCTCTGAGGACTGGTGGGTGCTCAAGCTCAGCCCCTCTAGAAGGAAAACAAACACACAACCCTGTGTTGTTTGAGCCACAAAGGAACGTGAGAGCACAGCCCTGAGCTCAGCTACCAGAGGCACTATAGGTGCCCTCCCAGCACATCTGGGGCACAGCTGGCATGGAGGTGCACTGCTGTTAAAGAGGTCTTCACCTAATGTGGGACGTAACTCTTACAGGGAGGAGAACCACTCTTTACGCTTAAAAATAAACAGCATTTCACCAAGGTCCATAAAACCCAAAACATATTCATCATAGTTACCTCATTGTTATGGTTTACGAAATGCTGGCTCTGGGGTCACACTGAGAGTCTTCATTCTCTATTTCCTTCTCTGAACTTTTCAGCATTTCTGAGTTAATGATTAGAAATTATCAGAAACTTTCCAGAGAAATTTTCCTCCATGTGTCATTCCCCAGGCACCAGCCAGGCACAGTGGAGCATGTGATTTCAGCTGGCTTCCTCCTTGGTTATTATCCAGGAGCCCAGCTGGAAATGTTGGGAGCTGTCAGAGCTTCTCCACACACTCTGTGGAGGAGGAAGACACTCGCCAGGCTTCCCCGTGCCTGGACACTCACACAGGAGTTTCCCTCCCACTTCTCCACCCAGCCATGGCAAACATAAGGGGCCGTCATCACCCCAGGGGTCACTGCACTTCCTTCGCATTTGATCGCACCTGGCAAACAGGTTAAAAAATGACTCGGAAAGGGCTGCCACCACCACACACGTCATTGCCATGGGCGTCCCGAAAGGGCTTCTTATGCACTGAATTTTGAAATCATTGAAACGAGCCATTTCTGTTTACTTCAACGTATTTTTTTTTCCCACCCCAGATTTTTCAGTTCACGAATATGTGTTCTTTTTCAAGTTTTGCCTAATCTGAAATGAGAAACTGTTTCCTTGTCAGCAGATCCTTTGCAGAATGGGAAACCAGCTCATGCTGAGGGCTCTGTTGATAATGCGTATTTATAAGATAACGCTGCTGTGTCTGTATTCTTTCTGTTCTGCATAATTTATATCAACGTTCAATTTGGTTATAGAAAAGGTGAAAGCAAGGAGCAGGTAAAGTAGCTGCCACAGACGATTAAGCTAATCCAAGTTAGTTAGGAAGCCACTGTGCACTACATGTAGCTGGAGCTGATGGGCTGAATGTGAAGTCAAGGGAAGCCTGAAGTTCCTTTTTTTTTTTTTTTTTGTAGCCCCATTTCATGCTCACAAAGTATCTAAACTCCTTGGGGTCATGAGTTCCCTCCAGCCACATCCAAACTTGAGATCAGTGAGGAAAGATGTGCAGGGAGGGCAGAAGGAACCCGAGGGGGGGAAACCCAGCCCCCGAGCAGGAAGCAGAGCAGCTCCCAGCTGAACTCTCCTTGCCAGGAGACCCAGGACAAGGACTTGCTGCTGGTCCGGGCTGGCATTGGGGCAGTCACTTTTTTTCTTCCATTTTCCTTCTCCCTCTGTCTCACCATGCTCCTGGTCGGTACGTGCAGGTGTCCTGCCACTGGCTGCCCAAGGTTGACCCGCATTGGCTGCAGGTTGGATCTCTCCACGCGATGCAAGTGCTGTCTTCTATTCTGGTCAGGCTTTCACAGACCAGATGTAAGCCAGGAATGCTAGAAATGTCCATGAACCAGGAAAGAAGGAAATAGAGTAGTCTGTTGAAAGCATAAAACCTGGGATAGAAACCATCCTGGCAGTAGTATTGCGCAGAGTCCGTCTCCTGTGGTTGCTGGAGAACTTCCACGGGTCCACAGACGTGCTCTCTGGGGCGTTACTCCTTCAGGGAGTTCATTACTGCCCTGTAGATTTTAGCACTTGTTGCAAGGCTCTGAAACATTTCAAAGGCAAATCAAGAGGCGTTTGACTCTTCTGTCGGCACGCACCAAGTGTTCCCACTTGCACTCTGACACCTGGTTTTCCGTGGGATGGAAGTTGTGCCCAGCCCCTAGCCCCACATCCTACCTGCACGCCTGAGCCTGTGCCACAGGTCACTGGAGGTAAGATGAAGAGACCGGGTTTGTCACCCCTGACTCACCTGCCTCGTCGCATCTTGTGTATGTGTGTCTCTTGGCGTCAGAACTATAACACGAGCTGCTGTCTTAACCCAGCTCTGTCTGCTGGTTTCTCTCTCCACAGCCTGGCATGGGGCTCTTTCACCTGCTGCATGGCGGCCTCCGTTACTACCTTGAACTCTTACACTAAGACTGTCATTGAGTTCAGACACAAGCGCAAAATCTTTGAGCAGGGCTTTCGAGAAGAGCAGAACTTCCTAGACCAGGAAGCCATCAAGTACTTCAGAGAAAGGTCAGTGCAGTCAGTTGCTCCACCAGTGGAGTTTCTCATGGACTCTGCTAGTCTCAGAAAATCCAGGCTCTCACCTACTTCAGCACATGTGGGTGAAGTCTCTGGGATACTTGGAGAAGATCTGTGTTAAAGACAAACACAAAAGATCCTCCTTGATATGTTTTTTCTTAAATGCTGTGATGTCCCAGTGCCTGCCTTTTCTTATATACTCAGTTAAAACACAAGACCGACAAGTCATTACAGTATGCATCTGATTCATAGGAATTAATGATGATTTTCCCAACCAAGATGATTTTCCCTCTCTGGAAAGGTAAAATTGTGGGGATATAACAAATGTTACAGCCATCCTTTCTCAGCACATGTAATAGGCACCTCCCAATTAATCCTAATGGCTACTGAGACCTTTTCCAGCCACCACTAGGCCACTTTGGAGTTGCCATCTTCCATAGCCACATGCCCACAGCCCATCCTAGGCTCCTCCCCACAACCCATCCTCCTCCTGAGCTCCTCCCCACAACCCATCCTCCTCCTGAGCTCCTCCACACAAGTATAGCCCATACATCATATTGCACTGCAGAAACATCCACACAGTGCCGCCCACACTGCTACCAGGGTCTTTGAGGGACTCTAAGTCCTGTCTGAGCCCTGAAGGCCCAGAGATGCTCCTTCACTCTGCCTGTCACCACACGCTGCCCACTGGCTGCACTGCTCACCCCATGCACTGGGATACTTGGTGCCCTCGTTCTTTCATGAGGAGATTAAGGCTTTACTTAAAATTTCAGAACATGAAGAGCACACAAATATTGACCTTACACAGCGGGGAAGGTGTGTGATGGACTCCACAGGGGTACCTTCACGGAATGAGGAGCTGATAAGTCCAGAGAATCCTCACCAAAAGCCTATGGTTGGAAGTAATATTTTGGGGACAGAAAACATAAGGAGGATTCATTCTGGTTCTTCTGACCAATGTGGCAGTTTCTCAGTGGTAAAAGAGAGTGGTTGGGAAGCTCTGAGAAGACAGAAGATTTGAAATGATCAGACATTTTAGTAGTGAAGTGAGGAGCTCTGCTGAGCAGGAAGAATGAGAGAACTTCCATGCTCATTGCTTTGCTTTGGTTACCCAACCTTAACTAGTAGTTTCCATTGTTATAGGTATTCCTCTACCGATTTCCAAGTTTTCACTCTACCTTTCAGGCAGTCTGGGAGGATGAGAGAAATGAGTCAAACCACCATGATTTTCCTAATTTTGCATTTAGAGATGACAGTGAATTTTTAAAAACTTTGTGTGTGAGAAAAAAAAACAAACCCAGACACAGTGAAGAGGAAGTGGCCATCATGTGCCTCAGGAGAAATCAAAAATCAGTGAGGGAAAACAGCTGAGGGAAAAGAGTCAGCCAAAGGAAAACAGTCAGCTGAGGGAGAACAGTCAGCTGAGGGAAGTCAGTCAGCCGAGGGAAAACAGTCAGCCGAGGGAAAACAGTCAGCCGAGGGAAAACAGTCAGCCGAGGGAAAACAGTCAGCCAAGGGAAAACAGTCAGCTGGATTACTGAAGCAAGAATTGCGGATGGAGACTGGCAGAATGGTCGGCAGCTGAATATGCTGAGTTACATTGGGCACTGCTAAGGAAACCTGATAACGTTCCACTGCTGCCCTTTCCGAAACAGTCAATAGCAAAACCCATTAGAGACACAGAGGACAGTAAAGCTTTGTCTCACACAGGCGCAGTGTGGTTGGATTTCGTTTCCTCTCGCCCTTGCCATCGCACAGCCCTCCCCGCCCCTTCTTACCTACCTGTAACCCCAGACCACGTAACACTGCAACCAGATCCCTGCTGGACTAGCTGTAATCACCCCAACAGGCTGGATGAGCAGGTGAGGGGCCCCAAGGAATGGCCTCAACCTGAAAGCAGCATCAAGACATTTGAAGTTCTCTTGGCGGGAAGGTTTGAACTTTACCTTACGTACATACCCAAGGCAAGTCAACAAACCAATGTGGACTTTAAATCTTATTTTATACGTAGCATCCAAAACAAGTCCCGTATTAGGCAACACGAACAGAGCAGCCTGTTCCTTGTGACTGCTCTGTAGACAGGTCAGAGCCACCCTGACCAGGACACAGAGACAAGGCTCCGTCTCCACCACGTCATGACTGAACTGTGCATTTGATTCTGTCCTTCCTCTTCATTGTGAATCTGTGTGAACTTGTTGGTCACATCCCCCAAGCCCCTCCACACGCACTTGGCAAACACAGCTCAAGCATGTGGTGTTCCCAAACTTCATGATTACGACTTTCTTTTTTTATATCACATTATTTTAATTGTTGTATCTGAATACATAATAAGAAGCCCAGAGACAGTGTTACCATGGGATCATTCCAGAGTTTTAAAGCTGTGCAGCATTACATCCATTTTTTAAATTTTTTTTTTTTTAAATTTAGCATATTCATGATCAGCTTTGCTATCGTGACCTGGGAATACTCTGAGAGTGCAGGGGTCCCGGGATCACCAGCTGGCAGCCCAGTGTTGGGACATGCTGTGGGTGCCGGCAGTCCCAGCAAGCTCACAACTCCCTCCAGCTCCCATCTTCCTTTGCACAAACAGAAAATAACTTCAATTCTCTTTCTTTCCTGTGCACATACCCAGGGATACTTCACATTCCCTCCTACTCCTACACCTCCATGTTCCTTTTCATATCTCATAAATAAAACCCTCCAGCCTTTCTTCCCTTCCAGTCACTTTGTACGTACCAGCACCCTCTTTGCATGTTCCTTTGCCTCGGTACACATCCAGCACCCGCTGCACGCACGCCAGCCAGCCCGGTGGTGAACAGACTTTGTGCAATAGGCAGTTTTCTCAAAGCAACGTATTTCTAGTGAAGGTGAAAGCTTTATCATTATTCCCAACAGCTACACTTCATCTTCTGGGAGACAGGGAAGAAAAGTGTTAGCCCCATCTTGCCTGATAAAAGTTTTTTTGTTGGAATATTCTTCTGCAGGCCCCTTCTCCCTGAGAAGAAATTTGCTTTTTGAAGAATACTGACAGTAGAATTCTGCTAATCTTCCAAGTACTTCATCAAACATAATATAATTGTGTTTCACTTAATTTTAATAGCAATTAACTGTATATTTACTAGAGACGTTTTAGGTGAAAGAGCTGAAGTGCTCCCTCAAGAGCTCCCAGTCGAACAAGTGCCCACCCTGTTCACACCCAGCGCAGGCGATGCAGGGGATGAGCCCGGCCAAGGGAAGCTTTGCTGTCCCGACCCTGCTGCGCCAGCTCACCCATCCCCTCCCCTTGCACAGGCACCATTGCTGCTGCTTGTAAACTTCAGTCCCTGCAGCCTAAGAACGTAGCAAAGTCCTTTAAAGCTACATGAATATCCGTGTGCAGCCCAAATGCTGCTCCACAGCCTGGTTTGACTCCACCTTAAACAGCGCGTAGAGTAATCCAGGCCTAAGTGCACACCTAAACATAACCAGGCTGCAGAGGCAGCTTAGAGACAGACAGATTCCCGGACTCCCTGCAACTGCACAGGCACAGGCTTTGCCTCTCAGCAGCTAAGCATCGTACTGCTTCTACCACCAGGAAAACATTTAAACAGCTCCTGAAAAACCAAATATTCATGATGCTATATTCAACAATTATTTCCTTCTCAGGCCTTTGAAAAGTCCAGACAAAGCAGACCGTAGTTCACACCATAAAATCAAAAGATACTGCAACTCTTCAGATTTAAAAGATACGACAGCCCTAAGAGTAGCTCTAAACAGAACAGGTAAATAATACAGGCTTGGAGGTATTATTCATGTATTAAATGTTCTATAAAATTATCAGTAGAATTATCTGCAACATGTCAGCTTTCCGTCTTTGTCCCACTCTTGGCTTCCTTGTTCTCTGGTTTTCCTTTTAACTGAATATTTGTCTATAACTTTTGCTCATCTTTTTTTCAATTTTTTTAGTTTATTAGGTGTCAGTTCATAACAGGCATTTCCCTTCCCTCTCAGTTTCTCTTTCTGTTCTGTTTCATATGAATATTCGTGCCCCATATCACCCTGAGCGTGGTCCATTGTCTCCAGTCCATCCCAGTTAGCAGAGCGGGAACTCTCCACGGATCTTTCTGTTTCCTTTGCTCTGAGGATCCTTCCAGATTAAGTCAAAGGGACGGGGACTTTTTGTTCTCTCCTATATAGTCTGATCTGGGACAGTCAGAAGGAATGTCGACATGCCAGGGCCTTCTCCTCCTCCGCTGCCCCGCTGTTTGGCTTCTGCGGCCCTGCAGCACACAGATAACGGTTCCAGGGCCACTGTCCCTTTGCCACTGCCTGCTGCCCCAGAGCTGTCGCTGCTCCACAGCGGGGTCATGCCACGACATCCCACACGTTCCTCCCTACCCTGCACAAGTGTACCTGTAAGGCCATGAGAAAATGCGACCCACAAGCAGGGGACTGGGGGGAAATCCTTCCAGTGCAGCCCTGACTCCAGTGCACCCAGGCTGTCAAATCGTCAGCTTGCTTAGTGTAACATCTAATAAATGTACAACCCTCTGGTCTGGGGGGTTTAAAAAGGCAGTGAGAGGAAGGCAAGCTCGAAAGCAGTAGCAGATGTAGCAGTTTCAGCAGCTTTGCCCATATGGCTGTGTGATAATTAGGATGCGTTTACAGGAATTGTGCTCACTCAGACCAACTGGCTACACCAACACCATCCCCACATCTGTTCAGGCAAGGGACAGTGTGGGCAGGTTGTTCGCATCGAATGCCTTGCCCAAGCTTGTTCTCAGTTTCTTGCCTTTTTTTTTTTTGCTTTACGCATTAAAAAAAGCCCCTTTCGGGCACTCCCCACGACCTTTCCCAGTTCCCAGAACTCTGGTGGGCTTTGCTTTCAGGTAAAGAAGAAAACCTTTCACCTCTGCTCCTCTGGTGTGCTGGGGCCAAGGCAGAAAGTGTCAGTGGGGCAGATGGAGACCCTGGGCACAGTCACAGCTGCCGGAGCACAGAGGCTGCAGCTA